AAATAAAGCAATCTCTTTTATGAGGGATTAGGTTATTTAGATTTACCTTTTTTTCCTAGAACTTCCTTTCTCATCAGTTTCTTACGAGTCCTTCACTTTCACATCACCTCCAATAACCCTGTATAAATCATGATCTTTCCTCATCTACAGCATTTAAGTTCCCCATGCACTTTCAAAATTTGGGATGACAAGCAGGATTGTAGCAGAGAACTAATTGTTCCTAGTTCTCTTGACTTTATTTAGTCAGGGGGTTCAGATAACGGCTTCCTACAAGGTTTCACAGAATCATAGAACAGCTGAGGTTGGAAAGCACCTCTGAAGGTCATCTGGTCCAACCCACCTGCTCAGGCAGGGCAAAAGCTTTTAGAAGACAGTTAAGGCCACAAGTATCAACCTTGCCTAATACCACATGCCTTCTCCACAGTAAGTGGAGTAAGTTTTCAGGTAAATTACATTTGTTCCATCCCTGAAACTAGGAGATGCACAATGGTGGAACTATTTTATTTTGCTTAGACGGGAAGTTAACTAATAATTACATCCATATTTCACATCCAAATCCTATTGCTCTGGGATTGTGTAACTACAGCAGTTTGAACACATATTTGGAAGCATAAATGCTTTCGATAATTTTTAATCCTTCCTTTATCCTTCCTCTTCACCCTTCGTTAAACCTGCTACATTTGCCTCTTCTTAAATTTTTACATCTTTAGGCTTTAGCACAGGAAGGTGATCATACCTTTTGCAAGAAGCAAAAATACAAACTGCCTGCTTGGTGTTACCATCTGCTTGCCCTGACAAGAGAAAAGATATTCTTGACCTAATATAACACTGCATCAACTAGAATCACAGGTATTAAGCAGGATTAAAATGTAATATACAGTAATAATAACAATTATCTAAATACTTGGATTGTTCAATAGCTCATTCAAAAACATTCTTCTACTCTGTGTTAGTGTGGAAGAGCCCATTTCTTTAAAGCAGACAGTGTCCTGTGCTACATGTCCTGGCCATGCATAAGGACAGTCCTGCTCAGAACCTTCCTACCTCCTGCCCAAAGACTTCCCTACAGATGCCTATTGATTGTCTACATAACTGTGCAGACAAAACTACTGCCATTTTTAGAGGACTGTATTAGTTAAGCATTGCAATTGAAAACAAAGACTCTCAGCAATGCTTCCTATCCAGGGAACTAGAAAAATTCCCAATCATGTACCAAGTCAACATAACTCTTCTTGTCAGGAATAGAGTCTACGCTTGGTTTCCTTTCCTAGAATCCAGCAACATCTCCCAGCTTTGCAGCAGATCTTAACAATCAGGATTCTCCATGTCTTTCACTACCAAGACAATCAAAGCACAGGATAGCGAGACAGAGCATGACTGACATCAATGTAAAACACAAACCTCAGCACTAAAGAACTGCACAGTTCTTACTACTATAAATGTGTCACACTTTAGGAAGCTTACATTTTTAAAGAAAACTGAAGGATTTGACAAACAGTTAACTTTGGTAGAGAATAGAAATGAAAATAATATTGTTCCTTTATTGCTATTGAAGGGAAAATATAAATTGGAATCTACTATTCAAAAGTAAAAAGTAGTGTAATGTCTGATAGTAAAGTTGAAAGAAAGAAAACTATAAGAAGGTAACAATATTCCCATCCCCCATCTCCTCTCTAGATCTGTCTGCTCAGACAAGATCAGGCGCAGACAATTAAATTCTTCACTCCTCCCTTTCTGAGAAAGCAATTAAAACTGTCAAACTCATGAGCCATGATGTTTCCAAATCTACAAGGGCTGGGAATATAAATGATATTTGCTTGAGGCTGGTCCAGCAGAGAATGCTTTTTTGACTGTCACATCCAGCTAAAAAAAGCAATATGCTTAACATGGAGCTTGTCAATTTTTGACCAATAAATGTGACCTGGTCAAATTTTTAACTGACTTAACCTGCAACAGTAATATTTAAAAGGTACAGTATGTCTGTGCAGTAGCTATTTTCCTCTTAAAATGATAAACAGTAAAAAAATTGCCAACTTACAGCCAAATCCCAAAAAGCATGAATCAATGACTCTTTTGCTAGTTTGGACTATTATGATACAGAATTTGATATTGCCAGCTTTTATACTCCCGACAGATATTAACCTGAGAAACGGCAAATAGGCTTTAAAGAGCCTGCCTGCACTGGGGCACATCAGTGTCCAAAATCTACACATGCAGGCTTGAGCTGAGCGAGGTTTAACGCAGATCTTGCTGGCTTGGTGAAGGTGGCTGAGCACTCACCTTCTGCTCACTTCATAGAGCTGCCACTGCTG